TACTGCCCCCCCAAATGGGCTGGGGTATTAACCTTACAGGCCACACACCCAGGCTCTTGGCTTCACCCCCAGGAGGGTGGGAAGGTGCAAAATAAGAAAGGGATGGGGCTTCTAGGCAGACAAGGGGTGGGGCCTAGCAGCAAGGGGGCTGGGTCTGAAGGAAAGGGGTGAGGTTTAGAGGAAAGGGGCAGGGCCTAGAGGCATGGGGGAAAGCTTTAGGGGATCAAGAGTCCCATTGGGGTCAGGGACTGCATTTTCGCAGCCCTCAAAAAGGGGCCAAAACTCCCCCTTTGGAGACAAAAGGGGGTGGGGGGTATGACACTCTTCCCCATACCCTGTCAGGGGGCTGTAAACACAAAAAGAGATCCCAGGATCCCCAAAAACCCGGGGTTTGAGACCAAAAAAAGAAGTCCCAAAAACATGGGGTTTCTACCCTAAAAACACATCCCTCCCTCCCAAAACCCCAGTTCCTGGGGGGGTGGACATGGGGTAAAGGAGTTACTGGGAGTGCTGGAGAAGAAGACCCTAATGAGTGTCCCCGGGTGGGGGGAGGGACCTGGCAGAGCTTGGAAACCCAGGACTCCAGGCTCAGGGGGGGCCACGAAGGTGGCAGGCAAAGGCAGTCGAGGAGGGTTGGGAGATCCCACCCCGGACTCCTGGGTTCCCTGTGGAGGGCGAGGAAGCTGGAGCCTCGCGGAGAACCCAGGCGACCTCAGCAGACCAGGAACAGAGGCGAGTTGCTTGAGTACAGCCTGGAAGACCCAGAGAAGCCAGGTGTCCAGGAAGGAGACAACCTCCATGGATGAGAAACGGGGGTGATGCAGTTGAGTAGAGCCTGAACCCAGGCGTCTGGGCCAGAAGGAGCAGAGACGGGTGAAGGACCCAGGCATCTGGGCTGGGAGATAACCTCCATGGATGAAGAACCACCATAAGCTGGTTGAACATAGCCTGGAGGACCCAGGCACCTGGGCTGGGAGGAGCAGAGACTTGGAAAGAAAGCAGGCATCTGGGTGGGAGATAACCTCCATGGATGAGAAACAGGGTTGACTCAGTCGAGTAGTCTGAAGAACCCAGGAGTCCGAGTGGGAGATGACATCTGTGGATGAAAAACGGGGGCAAGTTGCTTGAGTAGAGCCTGGAGCACCCAGAGAACCCAGATGTCTGGGTGGGAGAGGACCTCCATGGATGAGGAATGAAGATAACCCAGTTGAGTAGAGCCTGAAGAACCCAGGTGCCCAGGCCGGGAGGAGCAGAGCCTGGTGAAGAACCCAGGTGTCCAGGCAGGAGATGATCTCCACGGATGAAGAACAGGAGTGAGTTGCTTCAATAGAGCTTGGATGACCCAGAGAACCTGAGTCCGGGTGGGAGAGGACCTCGGTGGATGAAGAACAGCCGAGAGTTGATTGAGCAGAGCCCGAAGAACCCAGGCGTCTGGGCGGTGAGGAACAGGGATGACACAGTTGAGTAGAGCTGGAGGACCCCAGCGTCCACGCGGGTCAGCACCCCTTGCCAGAAGAGGGCGGAGTCTCTGGGAAGCAAGTGGGGCCATGAGTCTGTAGAGATTTTTTTCCCCTTTTTTTGTGCAATTTTTTTTTTTTTTTAACCAAAATGTTCTTTTTTCACCCCCCAAAAATGGCCTCTGATGAATAATAATAATAATAAAAAACAAAACGCAAAGGGGCAAAGCCAGATCCACAGAGCTATGTACACACGCCCGTCACCATGGAAATCCAACCGGCCCCACCCCCAGCCAAAAAAAAAAGTAATTTTTTTAAGTGCATTTCTTCAAGTTTTGTCTTTTTCCGGCTTTTTCTTTTTGTTGCTTTTTTTCTTCTTTTTTTAATATATTTTTTCCTAAATTCTCCCTTTTCACCCCCAAAATTCCCCCTGCATGAAAAATAAGTTTTAATAGTTCCCCCCGCCTTTTTTTTTTTTTTTTTTTAACTGTTTGTGGGTTTTTTTAAAAAAATCAGGTTTTCTTCCTCCAAAACCCCCCAAAAAAGGTTTTGTCTTTAATGATTTTTTTGGTTTTTTCTTTTTTCATAAAAAAATAGGTCTTTCTTTCTCTTCCAAAACCCCCCAAAAAAGGGTTATTTTTCCCCATTCCTGTGATTTTTATAGCTTTTCTGTTTCTTTAAAAAAACAAGTTTTTCCTCCAAAAAACACCCAAAAAGGGTTTTAGTCCATTTTCTCACCAAACCCCCACAAAAAAGGGTTTCCCATTTTTCCCACCAAAAGTTTTTCCACTTTTCTTTCCAGCCTCCCCAAAAAAGTATTTTTCCACCAACCCCCCTAAAAGGGTTTTTGCCTTTTTCCACGAAAAAACCCCCCAAAACTTTTTTTGCCCATTTTTCCACCAAAACTTTTTTTTTTTTCACTTTTTCTCTCCAAAAAAAGCCCAAAAACATTTTTGTCCATTTTTTCCACCAAAGAGCCTGCCCAAATGGGGTTGGGGTTTTTTTTTTGCCTCTTTTCTCTCCAAACCCCCCGCAAAAGGGTTTTTTGTCCATTTTTTCCACCAACCCCCCCAAAAAACGGGTTTTTGGGACTTCTCCCGTGTCCGGCACCCAGGGCCGGTAAAGTGCATCGTGGGGTAGTTCCTTGGTTTCTAAGGTGCTTCCTGTATCAGGGGTCGAAGTGCTATGGAGACACAATCAGACTCCGCCCCCGGCTGGAGAGGCAGGGCCCCAGCTGGGCCCGCCCCCACCAGAGGGAGGGGAGGGGCTTAAGGCAGCAGCGCTGAGTGGTTAGCTATTGCTACAGGGGCTCGGAGGGGCCAGGGGTCAGTAGTCCTCGATGGTCTCCACCTCGCCCGCTGGGCCGTGGAGGGAGTAGCCTGGGGGGAGAGGGGTTAGTGGCAGGGGAGACCTAGGTGTCAGGCCCCCCCCAGACAACCCAGGCATCCAGCCCCCCACCCCCCAGCTGATCCAGGCTTCCAGCCCTC